CGCCAGGCCCCGATGGCTGGCAGCCACCGTGTCAAGAGAGTGAGCTGAGAGGAAACGGCTGATTAGTGGACTGCCTCGAGCTCACTCCCTGCCCTTTCCTGCCTCCTGGCTTGGGACACGCCCTAACAAGGGTGTTCCCCAGAACCTGGCACCTTGCACCCAGCCCTCCCTACTGGGCAGGCTGCCAGCGAGGCCCTTAAATGCCTCCTTGTTCAGAGGGCTAAGATTTGGGAGGTGGGACTCAGTGGATTTGGGGTTCCAGGCGGAAGTTCTGAGTCCCATTGGTTCCCGGTGACCCGAATGCAAAGACCAGCAGGTGACTGACAGCCACTGCCTGGCTGGGGACCGCGCAGGGTGGGCCAAGGCTGTCGCTGCCTCCTGTGTTCTGAAGGCAGGAGGTAGCAGGTGCACCCAGCTGAGCTGCAGTGTCCAGAAAGGGGGAGCCCTCCTCTGGAGGCAGGGAGGTGCTGGCCTCCCCCGGAGGACCTAGCCCCATTCAGCTGATGGGGAGGGAAGGACACTGAAGGAGCCGTTGCCCTGGGAAATGGGAGGGCCGGGCCTGGCTCGGTCAGCTCAGAACTCTGACAGAGGCCGGGGCCAGCCTCGGGCTCAGCACAGGAAGAGGCCTTTCACGCCAGAGCTGTGTGCGGAGGGAGGGCCATCCCACAGGGTGGTGAGCGTCCATGATGGGCCATGTGAGCAGAGCCCGGACGGCTGGGAGGTGAGACCCGGGCCCGGCCCCGAGCGCACTGTGGGACCTGCCCAGAGGAGCAGGAAGGGGACTCACTGACAACGCCCCTGTCGTTTCGGAGCTGGAGGCCCCGGGCACGGAGCACGACCACCGTCAGGCGGCTCAGGTAGCTGTTGTAGCTGAGGCAGAACTGCAGGTCCCCGAACTCCGAGGGCGGCTGGGGAGGCCGAGAAGAAGGTGCCTCCCTTAGCACTCTGGCCGGGGCCGGAGGGGCCACAGGGTTCTCAAGGCCTCCCTCCATTCCCTAGCCTTCAGGCATGGGGCACACACGACACACCACAGGGTCTCCTCTGGTGGTGAGCTGGGGTCTGGAGTGGTAGAGGGACCTGAACAGTGACACGGGCAGAGCTCAGGGGGTTCCCCAGCTGCTGGAGCCACCCGGGTGCTCCTGGGGGTGACAATGGTGAGAATGATGGCCAGCCCCTTCCTGGTTAGCCTTCATGGCCTGGATGAAATCCCAAGGTGGGTTTTTCAGGTGGCTCTGGGGGGGTTACAAAGGCCAGTGCCACAGGGCCTTTGGTGTCCCTCCTTGCCCAGCGGCAGCTCTAGCCCCCAGCAGCCTGTGCGGCTTGGGGCCGGGGCCACCTCCAAGCCTCTCTTGTGGGTCCCAGGCAACACGCTGGGGGCTGAGCTTCCCTGTACCTGCTAGCTGTCCCCACAGTGCTGACACCTGCAGGATGTGACGGGTGACCCTGACTTACCTCCAGGCTCTCGGCCTCCAGGTCTCTCCAGATGACATGCCGGCAGTCGCCCGCCAGGGTCTCGCTCTTCAGGGGGAAGAGCACCTGGCCCAGGAACTGGTGCCTCCTCTGCCTGTCCACGTGGTACACTGAGAATCTCAGCACCCTCTGGGTGACGCTCCTGCTGGACACCTGGGGGGAGAGGTGAGGACCGGCCAAGGGCAGGCATGGGGGGAGGGGGCGGTGGCATGGCATTTAATACTGGGCAGGACAGAATCCAGCCTTCTTCCCCTCCCCCCACCCACAGAACCCAAACTCAGGCACAGGGAGGGCCAGGTCCCCCAGGAAGCGGGAACGTGTGTGGAGCCTTGCCATGGAGTGTCCCTGGGTCAGCAGTGTCACCACCCCAGGGCCTGCCTAGACATGCAGGAGCTGGGCCCACCCCAGCCCAGGAATCAGACGGTGCTTAAGGAGAACTCCGGGCAATCACAGGTGCGTGCAGCCGGGGCGTGTGGGGCGCGGAGCGGCTCCGAGTGCCCCGGGTGGCACTCAGAGACCGCGCCCCTCCCTGTAAAATGAATGACGAGTTTTCCTCTCCGGGTTGTTAACCCCAACCGCACCGCCTGGCCCATGGCAGACAGCCAATGAGCGTGGTTCTCTTCTCCTCTCCTCCCCTTCAGGCATGGAGGGAACAGGATCGAGGGGAGTGAGCTGGGGGGGCAGGAAGACCTGACATGACGGTGACCGTGTGGGTTGGCAAAGCTGCTCGCCGCGGTCTGACAGTGGAGAAGAGAGGCTCCTGGACTTCTCACGGCCGGGCTGCAGCAGGCCCAGGCCAGGCCATCTGCATTCCCGCCACCTCACAAGAGGCAGGAACTCTGGCCTCAGCAATCAGACCTTCCTGGCAGCAGCCTGGCCCCTCCTCACCCGGGGCCTAGTGCCACCCAGCTCTCAAGAACATGTTTGTCCAAGGCCCTTCCACGGCTCTCGGTTGCCAGCTTCCGTCAAGGACCCCTGGTCACCTGCTGAGGCCCCCAGTCCCCTGTTGGGAGCCTGGCTTGGTGCCCTGCCAGCCTCTCTGCCTCCAGGTCTTAGCCGAAGCCCAAGGGCAGTGAAGGCCCCAAACCTGCCCCAGAACAGCTCTCGGGCCTGCGCTGGCCTCAGAC